GCTCTGTACTACATAGAGATACCCCAGGTACATCAATTAATACGATGACAGTTTTCACATAAATCTTGCAGATATCCTATCCCAGGAAATCCACTGCCTACAAAAAATCCCATACAGCACTGTTGGCATTGAAAATGAAGTGAATGAGAGTTCAAGCATTTCTTCTTACAAACAGCCTTTTAATTTCTTTAAAGCTCGCTTCACTGTGTGCCAATACAGTAACATACATTTCAATGCACTTGCCTTCATTCCAACAACAACAAAATTATTTCTATGTATATTAAATTAAAAATTTTAAATAAAAAATTTTGTATCAGAAGTATCAGTATTTCCATATGGGAGAAATCATGAGTGGCCCTAATGCAGGAAACAGAGGCAAATAAACAGATTGAAGGGTATTATACATTATACTATTTTCAAAAGTGTGCTTTGAAATGTTTGCAAAATAAAAGCTTGCTTTGTGCGAACAGCCATATTTTCCTCATACTTAAAAAAATAGGAGATGATTGTGACTACCCAAATCCATCTCTCCCCATACTGCCTCCAGAATTGCATACACAGCAAAAAATAAAATAAAATAAAATAAAATAATAAAATACTCACTATCTTTCCAGTATAAATGGAAAATAAATACAAGCTGGATTTTTTTTTCCAAGAGAGGCAATAAGTAAGTATACACAACCAAAAGAATCTAGGCTGAATCCACACTAGTACAGAAGGAATCCTAGGGAAACTGAATGGCAAGTAAGAAACGAAGGTGCTCTAGTGGTGAAAGAACTTATGTATTGTCAACAAGGCCTCCCACCAGAAAGAGAGAGCATCATCCTGAGTGCAATGACACTACTGAGACCAATTATGTAAGTTGAGTTAATAAATGCAAATGGCCATGGTCTGTATGGGGGAAAAACATTTAAGCTTAGATCAAACTATGCTGCATACAAATATATACCTAATATAAAGTGATTCAGACAGATTAAAGAAAATTGTTTTTTAAATGGCCAAAATGGCAAATACAAACAAAAAGAATCTATATCAGACAAGATAGAATCTAGTCTCAAAAGCATTAAAGAGACTAAAAAGGAAACATAATTTTATAGGCTAAATTCACAATGAAGATAATACAGTTAAGAATATGTATGAAACAGTATGGAACAATATTCAATAAGTGAAAACCAAAGGATACCCAAAAAGAAATACGCTGGTAACAGACTAATTTAAACTAGCTCAACTCCCTCAGTCCAAGGTAGATGAAATAAATATAAAATATCTAAAACAAGTGATCACTAAGGTAGACTGTAGAGATGAAAATATAAACTCTATATTGAAATAAAAATAAATAGCTTCCTTCTCAAGTACCCATGAAAGATTCCTCAAAATTGACCACATATTAGAAAATCACACTAAATTCCAAAAAGCAGAAATGGCACAAAATCATTCTCTGAATACAATGCAGTAAAACTAGAAAGAATAATACCAAAAAATCCTTTCCATATAGAAATTTTAAAATCTTAGCTGAAATATAAAATACATCATAAAATTGTAGAAAAATTTTTATGTCAACAAAATTTATGTTGACATAAAAACTTAAGTATTATGTCAACAACAGTGAAAAGGATAAAAAATAAAGAAATTAAATATTTAACCAAAAAACAAAAAGAACAGGAGAAACAGAAGAAATCAGATGAAACTGGTATTAACATGCATTAGCGATAGGAATACAAATTGGTACAACCCACATAGAATGCATCTCACACTCTCTTCCTAAATCACAGATGTTCTTTGCCCCAACAGCATGTAGTGTGGGAAATTAACCTAAAGATTTATCTGATAAAGTATGAAATGATGTAGGTATCAGGACAGTCATTATGGCAATGTGGAAAAATGGAAACCATTCAATGCCCATCAATCAGGGACTGGTGAAATAAACTCTGGTCACCTCCAAAATCATATACTAAAAAACAATAGAAAAAGAATGCTATGAACCCCAAAACATGTTAAGTGCAAAAAAGCAAAATAAAACACAATACCAAAAATATTATATATTTTGAGAAAAGATTAGCATGTATAAATATATTTCTTAGATAACAGTGTGTGCATATTTATAAGCACATATATGCATGTGAAACATTATATACATATATACATGTTATATATGTACATATACAAAATAATCTATATATAAAAACATATACGAGAGTAAAAAGACAAGCATGAAAGCACAATCTCTTTGAGTATGCCTTTTCTAAAAAGTGTAGTTTGACTTTGAAACATTTGTTTAACATATCAAAAATAATATTAAATCAAATGGGAAAAGTGAACTAATTACATTTTAAATTCTTAGCATAATCACAAAGATAAAAAATTTCAGGTTACACTTTGGGAACAAAGTACAAGGACAAAAAGAAATGCAAAGAAATCTTAAAATTAATTTAGTAGTTTTATACTTACTAATATTGGCATTATTGTTTTTAAGCTATTTTATGAATACTTTAAAAGATTGTAAATAGTTACATTAATGTTGCTATTAACCAAGGATAATGGTGGAAGCAAAAGGAAATACTATAAAGTTTAAAAAGTAAATTTGAAATGAACATATCAATATTTTATATCTCTGATCAAATTCACAGGACAATTTAAGTATCAAAAAGTATCATAAGACAATTGACTGAAATATTCTGTATTATAAAAAAAAAACCTATGAGTTCATAAGAATAGTAAGAAAGAGAGAGGGAAAGCAAGGGGCGAGGGTGGAGAGAGAACCAGTGAAAAAACAAAGCAAAATAAATAAAACAATTCATTTAGAACCATTGAAAGTAATGAGGGCTACTAACACTTTAATGTAAAAATTTGTCTACACAAAGGTAGCATTTATTCTTGCCTTTCCTCTACAAACTATTTCAAGTTAAGCAAATGGTTATTATTAAATAAAGGATTCCAACTCAAAAATTATGGAAAGAATGATCAAATTAGAAAACTCACTTTTTACATCCCTCATTTCGTTAATTGACTCAGGCCACATTAATCAATGGATAAAAATAGTAATGTAAAGCTTGGTGGAGATCTTTATAACTGAGGGTTTAGGCTCTTACTAGCTATACCTGACATCAATTGTAGCATCATCAAAAGCAAATGAACAAAACATTATTCCTAGTGTAAGGCAATATGATACACAGAGCACCACCTATGAAAATGTCTTGCTGAAATGACTGAACTTGAATTTAATCAAGCCTGTTGAGGTAACTTCCATTTACAGTAAATACAGGGATTAGAGAAACAATTCCAATGACACTAAAAGGGAGTAAATGGAGAAATCCAGAATGTGGGACATTGCATAGGACAATTAATATAGTTTCTACAGTAAATCAGTGGCATAGGTTGAAAAAGTGGGAGGACTGCTGCAGATTGAAGAGACTTCAAAGACCTATGTAAATATACTATGTGGCCAATGCATGTGTTATGTTTCAAATCAACTCAGATAATTTTGAAAAAAATGAGAAAAATTGGATTATGGATATTCAGTTGCTTTAAGGCATCACCATTAATTGTAATAGGTATCATAATGCATGGTGGTTAAGTAAGAATGGACCGTACTATTAAAAACCATCTCCTGAAGCATGAAAGGGTGAAATTATATAATTTTGGAATTTGCTTTAAGAAAAAAACCCAAAAAACAAACAAAAAAAAGTAACAGTGAAGCAAATGTTGAATATGGTTATGTGAATCTTCATGCATTTATTTTGTAAATGTTTTAAATTTTCAATATTAATAAATGGAAAAAAAAAACCTAAGTGAAGAAACAGAATATCAAGGAGTCCTAAGTAGAACCAGGCCTAAGCACAGAACGTTGACTTACTTTTACTCCCCATCTACTCCCATACCACTCCCTGATATTGGGTCCAGGTCATTTCCTAATGATTATAGGACAAAGGAGGTGAAAGGATAGAGCTTTTGGGGGGTCCAAAACTTTTAAGTCATTATCATTGTACCAGAGTAGAGTTTTGATCTAGTTCTTGATTTTTGGCAATCCTTGATTATTCATTAATCATTAAGCTCCTATCAAATCCCTTGAGAATTCCACAGTTAAATAATAAAAAAATGAACAGAGAAGTTTAAGCCAGGTAGTAAAAAATATCAAGTTTCTATTTTAGAATTATCATAGTGGAAACCATAGAGAAGTAAGTTGAATTTCAGTCAGTAGAAAAGAAAAGTTGGGCAGTAACAAGTGAGAGCAAGAACAGAACACTCATGAAACTTAGGAGCAAAGTGTAAGAGAGATGAGGTGATGGTAGAAGTGAATGACAATAGGAAGAACTTGACATAAGACAGGTGATAAATGATGGAGTAAAGTACTAGAGGAGACTGACAGGTGTATTTATAGAAATAGAAGGACTAGTTTTAAACAAACTAACAAACAAACAAAAAAGACAGTTTTGTTGCTGACATATATGGATTACAAAGTATGTAGGTGGAAACAGATAGATATACAGGTATACAGATAGAGAAATGGAGGGTTGGAGAAGGTTAAGAAAATGATTTCTTCTAGGTGGTGGTATTAGTAGCCTTAGGTAAAGAAGAAAAAGTTAATACACGAGATGTATGTAGGCAAGCAAAGTAGTGATAAAACGGTTTACTAGGGAATAGTTATGACAGTTCCCACTTTAGAAAGCACAGAATTCATAAAAATATAATGGCACCATACTAGGGTATTACATTCCCCAGCAGAGCTCAGATCACTACTGATTAAAAGAAAAGGAATAGGGAGGTGAATATATTACTAATAACAGGAGCTACTAACAACTACCCACTTGTCAGCAGTGGGAGCATATTCCATTTATACATATTAAAATTATTTTATTTCCTTAATAAATAAGGATAAAATATTAAATAAGTATGGCATAAATAAACAAATTATGTGTGGCCTATTCTTTAAAAGGAATGAATGAAACAAAATATAATCATGAGAAATAAATGTCTATATATTCAAATTCCATTGTTCTCACCAATTCGAGTGATTTTATTATGTGAAATTTCAAGATTTTGGATATTAGTGCAGCCATCCAAACCATGCAGAGAAGTCAGTTGATTTTTATTAAGAAGAACAACACAGAGATTTTCCAAATTTTCACAGTTGATAGTCTCAATATTATTTTCCTAAAATAAAGAACAAATGTAATTGATTTTATTTCAATGGCTTATTTAAAAAATTAAAGCTTGCAAAAAGAGGATGAGATATAATCTCCAAATGAATAGTTAAATCTCTAAATTTTAAGATAACCATGCAGAATGTTATATTATCTAGATAAAAAAGAATAATCTCCCCTGGCTGATGCAGCTCAGTGGATTAAGCACCGGCCTGCAAACCAAATGGTCACTGGTTCGATTCCCAGTCAGGGCACATGCCTGGGTTGCAGGCCAGGCCCCCAGAGGGGGGTGTGCGAGAGGCACCCACACATTGATGTTCTCCCCCTCTCTTTCTCCCTCACTTCCCCTCTGTCTAAAAAGAGATAAATAAAATCTTTTTAAAAAAGGAATCTAATAAATAATTGGCTTTGCATTTATTAATAATCTTTTAAAACACAGGGGATCATATAATATTTCAATCTAAATAAACAAGAGTTAACATTTGGTCTCAGTTCCTACATGAAACTATAATTTTAAAGAAACTGAACACTGAAAAAGATAAGTTTCCCATTTACCCTCCTCAGTTTCTGCCTCTCCCAAGAACACTAATATCATGAATTAAGTATACATCTCATGTACAGGTTTGTACTTTTACTACATGTATATATATTTGCAATACATTTACAAAGTCTGTCCAGAAAAGGTCTAACCATTGTTAATATAAGAAAGATTTAAGCAACATAGATATAACATGGCAGCCAAGGAGAGTGGACTTGAAATGCTCACATGTGAGCAATGATGGCCTCATAGTACCAGTCAGTGGAGTCAGTAGAGGCTGTTGAATGAGCATGTACACTGTGTGGCTCTCTAATTCAAAATGACTGAGTGAGTAGAGCAACAAGTCTGCATCAAATTTTGCATTAAGCTTGAACACTCCTCTGCAGACACTGTTCAGATGATTGAGAAGGCTGCAGCTATGGGCAACTGGTGACTGATTGGCAGCCTCATCACAACAATGCACCTGCTCCCACATCATGTCTCTTGCAGAGTTTTTTGGCAAAACATCAAATCATCCAGGTGACTCAGCCAGGGCCCTACAGCCCAGATTTGGTGCCCTGTGACTCCCAAAACTAAAATCACCTTTGAAAGGGAAGAGATTTCAGACTGTCAAGATTCAGGAAAATATGACGGGCAGCGGATGGTGACTGGGAGAACTGTATAAGGTCCCAAGGTGCCTACTTTGATGGGGACTGAGGTATCATTGTCCTATGCACAATATTTCTTGTATCTTGTGTCTTCTTCAATAAATGTCTCTATTTTTCATGGTATATGGCTGGATACCTTCTGGACAGACCTCATATATTGTTCTCAATGTAAAACTCATATATCAAGTATGCAACAGCAATTCTCTTTTTTAAGACATCAGAAAGATAAATGGACTTTTAAGAATCTTAAGGGTTTAGTCCACAGCATCTCTCTCAAAAACATTTGAGTATAGCCTTGTCTAGTGAAGTGAACTTAGTAAAAAGCATAGAAAGTCCACAACGTTTTAAAAGAAAATCATATTGGTGAATGCACCACTAGTTTGAACTGAAAAGAATATAATTCAAATTTATAGGAAGGCTTTAGGTGCCCCACCCCACATTTTCCATGGGAAAGAAATTGGCTGGGAAAAATGCTCAGCTACAAAAGCAGGCACTTCTTGGAGACAAGGAAGTATGCCTTGAAGACGGAGTCAAAAGCCCAGTGGGCAGAATCAAGAGTCACAGAAAACCAATACCATGGAGCAAAACTGAGTCCTTATTAAGGAACTGATAACCTCCCAAGGTACCAGTCATAAAGAGAAGATATTTTAGACATCCCAGCCCAAATTGCAAATTACATAAGAGATTCAGTCAAAACAAAAAGCAGAAGAAAGGCCCAGATGATCCAGGACTCAATTCATGGTCCCCAGAACCAGGAGCAAATAAAATGACCGTTGTTTTAATTTACTAACTAATGTGGTAATTTGTTATATAGCAAAAGGTAACAAGACAAACATCTGTAAATAGAGATAAGTAATGGCCAGGGCATACTGCCTAATCATTTTCCCTCTATGCTTCTCAGAAATGTTGGCCCTTGATCTCTTTACAACATAAGTTATATGTCATTTTAGTAAATGCTTTTTCCAAAACAGTCATTAATGAAGTGTAAAGATCAATCCATTTTATATTTCATTACAAGATAAATAATGAGAAAAAAGGACATACCTGTACATTTATGTACTTCAGTTTTTTGCAGTTATTCAGGCTGTGCAAAGAAGTTAACCCACAGCGTTGAAGAGACAGAAACTGAAGATTTGTACACTCTGCCAGTGTGGAAAGACTACAACCTGGTAAGTCTTGAAATGTTACTCTTGTAACCTAGAGAATTCAAGAAAATTGGAGTGCATAACATTATCCAACAGTAATAATCTCTGAGTTCAGAGAGCTCCCTTTGAGCTGATGATCTCCAACTGGGTCTGATATAGATAAGATGACTCTGTACTTCAAGTCTGAGTCTGATGCCATAAGTCAATGAGACTTTGGGACCCAAACCACAGAATACAAACAACATTCTATTACAAGTCTTCTATATAATAAAGGTATAAATCATTCCTTACTACTGAATAATGTAATATACCCAAGCATAGAGTATCGGTGGTAAAACAAGTCATGAATAATAATTTCATATATTTTTCAAACATTTGAAGACCATACATTTATAATATTTCATATTATTGAGATATTACTATAGGCTCATAAAACTTTTTTATTAATGAACTTGTTTTGGTTTGTCTTTTTAACTAAAGAAAACTCAATATCAAAGAATGTATTCAACTTTATGGTATGTTATATTAAGGACTTGTTCTACAAGAGTATGTCAGAAATATTTTTGGATTATGGAAAAGCACTTCACTTTTTAAATAGGAATTCTCATGTAAGTTAAAGGGCAGAGGCATATCGTACTGTGTTGGTTTTTTCATTATAATTGAGTCTATTACACTGAAATAACTATATAAATCACTTTATAGTAAGAATATTTTCCTATCACCATGTCAAAAATCTTAAGGCCAGGTTTCCCATGTACTGAATAACAGTTTAAAAATTATTACCTTTATGAGTCTAACGTGTATCTTACTTAAAATTGAAATTCAAAAATTGTTCAATTGAAATTGAAAGCATTGTTGCTTCAAAAAAATCTGGAAAACATATAAAATTTTTAAGTTCAGCAACTCCTCTTCATACCAAAATTTCCCGTGCATGATATTCAACTAAAAGTTTTTAATTTACACATTTACATGAGTGAATAGGAAGACCATATATTCATGAAGACATAAAGAAGTGATCGTCTACTCCTGGCTGAAGTAGCAAAAGCAACAATTGGTATTTTAAAAATTTGGGTGAATAAAAGTTTGTAGTTTCATAATTATTTTAGGAATTTCTCAATTATTCATAATCTAATCATCATGTTTAGTGAAAATACTTTTCAAAAATGAGGGTAAAATACATCTATTCTCCCTGAAACAAAAGTGAGAGAATATGTCAGCGCCTATAACGTATATTTGAGGCAGAAGGAAAGGGGATCACAGATGGGAGATCTACCATGAAAGTCGGAAGGAAGATCAAAATAAGTGGTAAGTCAGACAAAGAAAGGCAAATACCACATAATTTCACTTATATGTGGAATCTAAAAAACAAAATAAACTAACAAACAAAACAAAAACACATTCATACATACAGAGAACAAATTGGTGGTGGCCAGATGGGAGGGAGTTGGGGGATGGGTGAAAAAGGTGAAAGGTATTAAATACAAATTGACAGTTACTAAAATAGTCAGGGGTGGAGAGTACAGCCTAAGGAATATAATCAATAGCATTGTAAGAACTGTGCATAGTGTCAGATGGGAACTAGATTTATTGGGGTGATCATTTTTGTAAAGTAAATAAATGTCTAAGCACTGTGTTTTACACCTGAAATAAATATAATATTGCATGTCAACTGTAATTGAAAAATAAATCTATAACAACTCAAAACAAATATTTTTATAATTTTAGAAGGAAAATTATTCATCCATTTGTGACAAGATAACTGCTATATAATGTCCATTTAACTTGTCCACCAGGAAATACTAGGAATTCTGTAACTGGAAATTCTAAATAGTATAGAATTGAGCACTTAAGAACTGGAAACTCTACAACTGCAACGTTATAGTAACAAATGCTACTCTACCTTATAATTTATATTACTCTGCCTGATTGAATAATGTGTTACTTACAGTTAAACATATAAACACCAGTAAATTTTAGTTATTTTGATGTGGCAATTACAGTACAGGAGTGATGGCTGCTACCATGTCCCTGTTAATGGAATCTACTTTTGAATATGTGGTAGTTCATAATATTCCTTCCTCCCTTTTATTGAAAATTTTAAAAATTTCATTATGATATAAAAATTTATTCACTACTCCACTGTAGATTTATTCAAACATATGAGATCAAAATAATGTCTTAGATTAATTATTTATTGATACCTGCATGAGAAGAATCGAATAAATGAAGTGGCTTTATGCTCCAAAAAGTAAAATACAGAATTAGTTCTCATAGGTTTTCATCATTTCACCCTATGGTCAGCCTGAAAAAGGGCAACTGGAAGCACAGTGAATGTTCACAAAATGTTTCCTAAAAAAATGAATGAACAAACTGCACTATTCCTATGGCAAACTAAATATATATTTATAGCATTCATAGCTTCTTTCTCTTATAAAGGATAATAGAAAAATGTTTGAAAAATTAATATTTTTCATGATTTGAAAATGTACTGTTCTCCTACAGAATCTATGACTCATTTACTTGTATATTAACAAAAAGATAACACAACAATTCTCCACTTAATCACCTTTCCCCAAATATCTTTGACAGCTTGTTGTACATAAAATGACACATATATATGGCATATGTATATGGCATATATATACATGTACATATATATACACCATTGCTTCCTTATTGCTTCAGAAAATGTCATTTTATGTACCACTATATATACATTAGAAAGTTCACTCTCAATTTTTCTAGAGTTCAATCCAAGGAGTATCAATCATCTATGGTACACTGAAATTACAAAAGTAATGAAAACAAGGACCATTTTTTGGTTTTTGCAGAACACCTGTTTAATACCACATCTCAAATCTGTTGAACCTGAAGAAATAATACTGTTTTTAAAAAGTCAGCTGCAGAGACTGAATGCAAGGTATGATTAGTGGATTAAATGAAAGAGAATCTAACTTCAAGTAAGTTCAGTTTATTAGAATTTGTCTTATATAAGGGAGGTGAGACACTGTAGTCTAAAAGCTAAGCAGCAGCTAAAATGTTACAGTTTGTGCCATGTAATAAAGCCATATCAAAAAAAAATCCTTAAGCTTAATACCCTTTTTTTGTGATGTTATTTAAAGCAAGTTACCACGAGAAGCAAAAGAAAGAAAGAACGAACAAAAGAAAGGAAGGAAGGAAGGAAGGAAGGGAGGGAGGGAGGAAAAGAAAGAGGGAGGGAGGAAGGAAGGGGGAAAAGGGAGAGAAAGAAGAGTAGAAAAACCAGTAAAACTAGATAAATTACATATTAGCTGCCAATAATCACTGATCTTTAATCACATCCTTTTATAATATTATTGCATAAAGTGGATGTTTCAGAATTTTCAGTCTAAGAAATTTCCATGAAATCCACTACTAAGCAGCTTTCATAAATCCAATTGTCTTTTTCTTCAGATACTTGAGATCCCCACTTGACAGTGACTATTGTAAATATCAGGAGCCCTAGTCTGTATTCTTCAGACATGGTATTTTAAACTCAACAATCCTATAAAGTAGGTGCTGCTCTTCCCAGTTTATAGAAGACAAAACAAAGGCTCAGAAAGGCCAAGAACCTTACACAAGGTAACACAGTCAGTAAACAGCAAAAATAAAATTATCCCCAGATCTTAGTTGATATAGGACTTGTTAGTACTTTATTAAATTACACTCAAATAATTTATATTAATTTCCTTTTTAATCAATATACTCCATCAAAACTGTGAAGCTAGTAATAACGTGGAGATAAGATGAACATTCACCTAGATTTATTTATCCATCCATTTATCCATCCTCCTATTCATTCATCCCACAGTAAGGTAATCAAAATCACTATTTGCCTGGCAATACGTTAACAAGTATCGATGGGAAGCAGAACTGATTTGTGCCCTAAAGGCTCCATGTGAGAGATTAACATAAGCAAAGTGAATTCATTATTTGGTGAAATTCAAGAGGAGTAAACTTTTTTCTTTTCTAAAGGTCCTCTCCAGAAGGACCTTTCAATTATGGCAATGGTTAGTCAAGATAAGAACAAAAATGTAAAACTAAGAGATTAGAAAATAGAAGTAATAAAGTGAGTCATAGGTCAGCAGCAGTGATGAATGCAGACACCGCAATAAGCCATCTGCCAGAGTCATTACAAGATGATATTTTACAACTTTCAATATTTATATTGCACATTCACATATATTTTTCATCTCTATACTGTATATTTTGAGGTTTCAAAGAAAAGTTAAATGTTTGAAATAGCTGCTTTGAGTAGTGGTCAGAGGATTACAGGACCCTGTAGACCACTCCTACTCCAGTTAGTCGGTGCACCAACAGCATCACCCAGGGTCACCGTAAAAATGCAGAGCACTGAGGTTGATCACCAGACCTAATAAATCCGGATCAACCCCCAGGTGATCTGCATATACATCGCAGTTGGGAGGCTATGCTCTAAAAAGTAAAAGAAGGGGTTAATTTGCACTTTATATACATTGACAAGAGTTCCACAGAAGAAACTGAGTGGGCAGGAGAGGAAACACCAAGGAGAAAAAGGTTCACACATTTTAACATGCCCAGTGTTCTTCTCATCAGACAGAAGAGACATCCACAATGAAGGCCAGCACCACTGTCTCCTTAACTTCAGTTTTTCTTTTGAAACAATTACGCTGTAGATACGAAGCTGTCACTCACGCTTAGCCCAAACATATATTCACTATAAATGTTAATTTAAATAAAATAGTAGCTATGTCATTACTTAAGAAAGCCAGCAGCCACATTTTTTGGAAAGTAGAATAAGAATAGTTTCTAAGGTAATGTAGACAAACATAAAAAACAGAAGAGCTAAGGTTCTTCGTGCACTTCTATCGACCTGATGGATATGGCAAATACATTATTTAGGAAAGAGAGGATACTTCAAAGTAGCGCTTGTTCTTTACACTGTTCTTTTAAATCCCAGAGATCTCTTTAAATTACACTATCTTATCTTCTCACAGAATACCCTGAGATCTTACTTACAGTAACTATCAAGATCTATATCTGTATATTTACATA